CCCCAAAACCCCAAAACCCCAAAACCCCAAAACCCCAAAACAAATTATAAGAGTTGAAATAATAAATCATCCTAAAAAATGATCGGAGATATCTCTTCAAATGAAGAAGTAAAGCATCCTCAGGAAATCATCCCTGAGTTCACTGGAACTGTCAGAGACTCTATCAATATCTTTAAAAAACTCTCGAAGAAGAAGGAAAACCAGGGAACTCCTGATTTTAAGCGAAACAAAAGAGAAACCATCTCAAGTGAGGCAGCTGGTAACCTTGATTGGGTTAAAACCAGTCGGGTAGGACAATTCAGAACCTTTTTGCTTTTAAAAATAGTAGGAGAAAGGCTAAAGTGACCCAATCAGAGAAATAAAATCCGAAATATTTTCCCATCACAGCCAAATGTCAAGAAAACATCATTTATTTCTAGTAATAGAGCACTTAAGAGGGAACGGAGCCAACCAAATGCATTTTCAAGAATCTCTTTCTTTAGGAGGAGTCAGGAATATGCTAGTATTGGAGTTAAGGAAGGTGTTACCCACTCAACGCCACTTGATGTAGCAACCCTGACTAACTTCTCAGAAGCAATGATAAAGGCATAAAATGCTCCTTTAGAGTGAAGGAGCTGGAGCAAGGACAGCAACAATAACTTGAGCAAAGAGAAGATTAATATATTCAAAAATACTCAGTCCTTCAAGCTTAAGCCAAAACAGCTAGCTGAAGTTTTAAATCAGAAAGAATCTGCAAAGGGGCATACTCATAATAGTGCTAGGAATAAGTCTTTTAGTAATAGTTAAAAAGCTTGAAATTGAGTCTATTGAAGAACAAAACGAAGAGGTTGCCTCTCACATTCTCGACGAAAACATTGCTGAGGACTACATAGACTCTTACCACATATACCTCTCCCTTGTTGATAAATTAACAATTGAGGTGATAAACTCGTAACTCCAACATATTAGGCTAAGATCGGAGTATGAAGATATTCAGCATTGATTTCTAGACACAGCTATAGCTAGTTTGCTTCCAGGCATCGTCAAGGAGTCCTACCAATTCTGAGCAGAAGAAGAAGAGTGAAAGAGGAGAGAACTAAAATGAATGAAAGACCAGCAAAAATTACTTGTTGCAAAGAGAGAACAGGCACTTGTTCAATTCAAGAAAAAGCAACAAGAAGATCGGATTATATTCGAGCTAGCTTTTTCATTAGTATTTGATGACATGATTAAAACCTTCACAAGAGATCTAGCTCAAAGATGTATCTATGATGAGAAATAAACTACAAAGAAAGGAGTCCAATATTGCTGCTCATCACGAGCGAGATTTTATTCTGTATTTCACTATTAAAGATATGCTACAGGAGATTTCACAAGACTCAATAAGTGAGGTTACTCAAAAAATCAGTTCTGAAAGACTCATAAGACATGATATGGATTTCAGGAGTTACCAAAGCGACCTTAAATCTATCACTGATCAAGGATATTGCATTTCTCCTGAGCAATCAAAGGTTTCACCTGATTTTAATGAGAAAGTTTTGAATAGCTTTGAGATTCCCAAAACTTTTGAAAGAAGCTGAGAAGAGTCAACTCACAAAAATTCCATTATAGAACACATTCATGGCACAGTCTTTACTAAAGTACTTATGGAGATGACTCAAGATGTGACTACTAAAACATATGGAGGAATAAAGAGAGGAATAGAGAGCCGAATGAACCATTCAATCTATACACAGATTACAAGTAATTATCGAACCTAATCTCTTTAGATAATCTCGTAGAATCAGAGCTCAACAAGTTGGTAGCAGAGCTCTCTTATGAATGCATCAATAAGGCTAAAGCAGAAAATAAATTAGCTTCTCTAGAAGTCTTACTTGGAAGGAATTCATTCAGCTACGAATGAGCATACTACATAAATGGGCTTAGAAAAGATAATCCCGATATTATCAAAGATATTTCTAGTCTTAGCATCCCGGAGAAAGTTCAGGAGCTAACAGCTGCCTACCAAGAAAGACTGATCAAGGAAACTACACTTCGCATGATAACTGGAGTTGCTAGAGATTGCTTGAGAGGAGCTAAAATCTCCAAATTTAGTATAAAGTACTTTTTAATTTGATAAAAATAGAATAAGACCAAAAATAGCTTTACTCAAATATGTTGTTATAGAGAAAGATTATCTAAAGAAACGTCATCGGAAAAATTCTATTCTGACTAGGGTACAAGAGGATATCGTGCTCATTAGAGATGATCTTATTGAAGCCCAAATTATTAATATGATCTCGGAGCTGATTATCGAAAGTTTGGAGCAGAAATAATCACCTTGAACTCAAGTCCCCTGCTAGTACTTCGAATATTTTCCAGTCTGAGCATAAGCTCAACTTTTTCAACGATCTTAGATCTGAGATTGACTTGTCTAGTATCCAATATGAAGGCTCACCAGAGTCAAAGATCAGCCTAGTTTCCCCTTCATGACGGATATCTGAGTTCAAAGAAGCCGAATACCAAGCAGCTGGTAAGAAGTTAGAATTTGAGGACCTACAAGGTGACTCCCAAACAAATATTGAAGTTCAAGAATCTTTTCTTGGAATCTCCCAGAGTTTAGATCATTTTTAAATAGATATTAGTAAGGTGCAACAAACAATGGAAGATACAGGATTTTCACCTTTTAAGGAATCTAGAGCAAGAAGGGTATATCATAAAATCCTTGAGAAAATCTTCTCTAGTTGAATCAGGTAAAATCGAAAATGTAAAGCTTGAAAAAGAAATTTTGCTTTCTTGCAACCACCTCTTCCTTGGAATAACTTAAGCCCCATTAAGTATCTAATATTTTCTTTAGTAAGAATGTAAATAGAAAAAGCCAGATTATGAGCAATTAAGTTAGTATCCCTCTTCGGATATCGACACAAACTTTCTTATATGAATCCTTTGATCTATGCAACTCATGATAAAGCTATCTCCATATAATTTTGTGATGGCTTTTCTTCCATTGGTCTTCTTCCAATGTATCAGAGCTTGTCTATTTGGAATATCTTCATATGAACTTGGTTTTCCAGCAATCTCAAGCTCAATGGTCTCTGAACATTCGTTTAGAAGACAATTGTTCAGCTTTGCGAGAATTCTGCTATAATCTTGCTTTGCTGGCAGAGATAATTCATTTTCGCTATTTTCGGTCCAAATCTCTTTGAATTTGAGATATCCTATTTGGTTTTTCCTCGAATTAGCAAAATATTTCGAAGCATAATCTAAGAAATGGTTCAGAGAATTAGAGAAATATCAGTTGTTAAAAAGAAGAATCCCAGGAATCTTAAAAGAACTTAAAATATCCAGTAGATGGCAATTTTTTAGCCTGAGGTACTTCAGAGACAAGTTCTGAACTTCTCCAGCGCGAAGATTGGAGTTATTTATTAAGTTGTTGATCAAGTATGATGAATCTTCTGGCTCAAAGACAATCTCAAGAAAGACTTCAAACCTCTCTTTATCCACTTGTCTCTGGATATATTCAGTAAAATCATCCCCAACTTTATAAAACTGTTTCTCTGTTAGTGTCACAGCAACCACCTAGATATCAGGTAGACTTTCTTACCGGTATATCATCTGGGCGTTCTATGACCATCAGAGGCTCCATTTGTTTCTTTTCTTCCTCTTGTTCATCTATGGTGATGTCTTCACTTTGAAGTAAATCTCCTGATATTTGCTGATCTATTCCTTCATCTCCAGTTAGTATATCCTGCTGTTGAGAAATCCTCTCTTCAGGATTTGGGGAAGAATGTCTCTGGATACTTTGAGATTCCAGAGAATTCACGGGACTATTTCATACTGGAATTTTCTTAGATGAAGATTCTACTAATCCCTGCAAATCATGTCGATCTTCATGAGAAAGAGAATATGGTTGTTTTACAATCCGTGATGGACTCCACAAACCAGAATCATCAATAAGATCGTCTCTAGGTACCATGTCTTGTTGATCATTTCTCAGTATTATTCTGTTCCCATTGAAATCAAAAAGAGGTGGTGGAATAATAGGATGTACCTCCTTTTGCTCCTGATTATCTTTGAAATCATTTCTCATTAAGCCATTACTGGGTTCAGACCTTCCTTTATAGGATCTTTTACTCCATTTGAGCAAGCCAAAGTTGCTATTAGATTCCATTTTTAAATATACTGATAATCGAATCTTAATATATCCATATGGGGTTTTGGGGTTTTGGGGTTTTGGGGTTTTGGGG